AAACACTGAATCGGATCTATGGCTGGGCCCTCAAGCGACTTTGTTATGGCTTCAACTAAAAATTCCCTGTGTTGGGAATTAGAGGAATGTTAGAAAAATAGGGTGTATGGACGTCCATTCGCTCACATTGTGGGAGCCAGCAATGGAGGTTTATGGAAAGAGAAATCCATTGCTGAAAAACGGGTAAAGATGTTAAAGGTTGCGTCACCATTTGTCGCAATGAGAAGGCGCGCGCTTTGATGAAGCCAGGTAACAAAATCGGGAAACAGTTGCACTTCCTGACGGAGCTAACTGCGGGCACGTTATTAACGTAAATAGTGAATACAGAATCAAATTTCTGAATAAATACATCGGTTAGTGGTCAAATATTATGAGATAACGGATCACATCTAACAATGCGGAATGCGGACACCATTGGGTCGCCATAGAAACGGCTGTGAACGGTGATGGAAATGCATCGATAGCCCAGAGGTGGGCTGAGAAAGCGCAATTTGACGGATCGGAGAGCAGACCAGAGAGTTCCTGCTATTGAGCTCTTGTTGCTCTGTGTTGCTCTGGTCCTCACAACGGACAGAGAGATTAGCTCCCATCTAATCAGAATAATGGACTTCTCTTCTGTGCCATAAATGGGAACGAGAAGGGCCCACTCGTCATTGCGGTGGGAGGCGCGGTTACTGCGAGGATACTCAGGTGATCGATCTTTCCCTGGACATAAGTGTCTTTCTGTTCACTCTGCAGCAGATGGTTGTTTAGGATATGAGAGAGTCAACTTCCAGGAATCATGCGAAGACCCTCGGGCTCGTGAGAGCTCACAGGGCTGTAGGAAGGGGTGCAGTCCGTCGTAAATCGCGAGACGTTCACGTAAGGTTAAGGGTAGGTGAATGCATTGCCCTGACCAAAAAGCAGTAGAGTGTCAGAGATTTCATTTTCCCCTCTCCGCTCTTCAAAATCCCCATATCTCAAGGGGATTTATGTGAGCTGCGCTTTCTGCGCTTTACTATTCATTATGCGAGTCGTTGGAGTCCACAGGGCACAATTGAGATCGATAAATAAGCAAAAACGCAAGCAAATAAAACGAAAGTGAAATATTATTTAAAGGCGGTGAGCATGTTAAATTCAGGGCGGAGCGGTTTTGATGACGTCATTAAACGTTATCGGTGAATGGAACCTCTCAGCGCGCGAGTGGGTGTGGTTGGTTTGGACCGCCCCTTAGCGTCCTTCCACCAATGACGTTCAATGACGTCATCAAAACCGCACCACCCTCCAGCCATCATGCTCGCTGCCGTCAAATTTGTGAGAGTACATATGTAACGGAAGTTTATGAAGATACTACATAGATCGCTTTCATAGTCAACGTTTTGTGAGATTACGAGAATGGGACTAGAGATAGGATTCCGCTGATCTCTCATTCTCCTATTCTCCATAACAGTGCGTTCCTAACTTTGCTAATGATCGCCTTTTTCTTTTTTCTCATCTTTTTCAGTCTTCTAAACTTCTTAATCCCATGATCTCCTGATCCCCTTCTTCCCTATTCTCCCAATCAATGGATATATATTTCATTTCGCTTATTCTCGTATTCTCCTCAGAGCATGAGTATGAATGTTGCCTAGAAGCCAGAAAAAGTCGAAGGAAGAGAGGATGGGGAAGGGCTGAAAGATATGTAGTCTAGCCCGTTTCACAAGCGTCCGTAGGCCACGGACACTGTCTGCGATCTTGAGATTCTGCGATTCTGCGATCATTCGTTTTCACATGGAGAAGATACGAATCGATTGTAGAACGCATAATCGATACGTATCTATTCCACCTCGGACTGCAAGACGGCCACAAAGTATAACCGCGGTCTCAGACGGAAACCAGCAGGGTCTCGCCTCATAAGGGGGGGGGGGCATGTAGTGCGACATTCCATATAGCATAAGGTTATCAGGTTTGTCGCAGGGACGAAGCTCTGGGGTGGGTGTAAAAGCGAACGGCGAAATAGTTTACGTACCCCAGATATTTCCTCCCCTTGCAAAAACAGGAACTCCTGTAGGCGGCAGTATTTGTCGCCCTACACCCTACCTCTCCCCGCCCCTCTCCCCTCCCGCTTCTCCCTTACTGGATGAAACCTACTGACCGAAGAATGATATTGCCTTTTTATGCTCATCAGTAAGAGAAAAATGAACATCGAAGATAAAATAACTTTACTCAAAAAATCTTCCAAAAACCTATTACTGAGAAAATTATTAAAAATGTAAACATGCCAGTGCAGTCCAATGGAAGTCGTGAAGGGAAAAACAAAGTTTCCAATTGAGTTGACTAGTTGCCGTGCGCTTGAATGCACTTATGACCAAGGACAAGTGCGTGTGAGGAAAGCCAGTCAGCAAGGCTCCATGTGTAATCGAATCCATGGGCAAATACCCAACGTTTGACGCCAGGCTACCCGTTCGCTCCCAACTTGGTCATTTGATACGTTTGCTCCCTTTAACGGGAACTCATTTAAAAAAATCGCTGCGATTATTGCCCTGGTAGGGGAACAAAAGTACGGTAACCAAGCGATCCGTGCGACTCACAAAAGAGATGTGACAGATTTATTATTTTTGAAAGTAACTCTGTAGCTACTTTACTATGGGTATTACTGGTAAATCCGTTAGATTCACATTGAACGGATTCGATTTGCTTCTCTATTTTGATAATCTTCGCAGGTTTCCTTCTACAAACACACCAAACTGGAACCAAGCAGAGGTATCGCTCCGTTCGCTTGGAAGATTTCGCGCTCCAGCGTCAACTCCAATTTCCTCGGCCCTTTAATGTAAAGTTCGCTCGAAAGATGACGAGGTTTAAAATGCTTCGTCATTGCTTCGGTTTTGTCAGTGCTTATAGCTTGTTGCATATTATTTATTTAAGACCTCGAGGGGCTCAGCTGCAGCCATTATCCAAAACTAGTTCTTAACCCTCTCAAGTAGCTCTTTACCAGTATTTTCTTAAATGTGTTGCTTCTCGTAAGTACCACATACAATATGATTCTGTCAGTGTTGACTATTAATTGAAAGGTCTAGGTGAATAGATAGTAGCCCTTCAGCAATTTCAAAAATAGTTCTTGTCCTTTTCCTTTTCT